TGTAGAACCGGGCTCATAATATCCACCCATGTTGCGGCCTCCAGTGTCAATAACGTCATTGGATATTCTAGTGACTTCATAACAGTGGACTTGATCAAGGGGATCACATCGTATTTGTGAAGGTGACTAGACCGAACTTGTTCAGCCCACCTTTTGGCAATACCCTTCAGATGTGTAACATGGGCCTTCTGGTCCTCGAGTGGCGCGAGCATTACCCCCAATGTCTTCTCTGCCTCCCCCGGCTCAAGGCGACAAAGAGATTCCAATTTGCCAGACAAGCCCGGAATCTGAAGCCGGTGGTCCGGCAACAACTGATTCTTCCTCCTGAATGTCCATTGTCCCTTCCTGCCATCCCAAGCAAAGTCGATCAACCACCAAAAGGACTTGTCCGGGTTGATCGCTCCACCGGTAGCACTAATTCCTCCAGCCCACATGGACGCAGCCGCCTGGACCGATTGGCAGATGTCCTCGCCGGAGTGATCGACCGACGCCCCCGCCTCAATAACGTCTGTGTTGTCCACAAAACAGAAGCACTGAGCTGTGACCAAGTGAGAGTTGATCGCTGTGAGACACTCAAAGCCAAAACCCATTGCCACCATCATTTGAATAATAATAGAGCTGACCGAGACCCAGATGGGGGGACCACCCCCGTTGCCTTGTCCGCACCCTTGGAAAGGAATCATTGACGGCGGTCGGAAGCTTGCTTCGGAGTCTCCAAAGCCGGTTTGTACTCGATGTGTGGATGTTGCCAGCGTGTCAAACATCATCAGAAGTGCATTCCATGTTATGGCCAACCGCATCATGGCAACCACTGCCACCCAGTGAACTACCCGATCAAAGCATGACTTGGCATCATTCGAAATCCACCCTGCCGATCGACGCTGGAGAATCAGTAGGTCCCATACCAGCCGCTTCGACAGGGCGAGATCAATTGCTTGATGGTGCTTTCGGGACCCGCATTGACCATCAGCAAACAGGTGATGGTCTTCGCCATAAGTCATGGCCAGACGACCAAGTTGCTTAAAATTGGCCTGGGATTCAGAGTTCATCAACTGAATTGTTCGCATTTTCTTCAGACAAAACTCCCCGGGCTTCTTTTCAATGGCAAAATTCATTAAATGTCGCCAGTTGTCAGGAACGAACCCAGTAGTTAGAGGGATATGCCGAAACAAGGCGTCACACTGGGCGATCATAGGGGAGAGAATCCCAGCTTTAAAGTGGCCATTATGCAGGCCATGAGGTTCAGAGCCCTTGTGTTCCGGATTCCGAGACCAGAAGTAGGTGTGATCTTCAGTAGAAACCTCCAGAAGGGACGTAGAATGATCTTTGTGGAACCTGCACTGAGAAAGGAAAGACCGAGTTGGGTAGTCAATGCCATCTGGTAGAGGAAGGCGCCCTTCAAGAAGGGCGAGGGAGTTTTGTTCCGCGTCATGGCCATTAAACATTTGGTACAATGGAGCATCCATTGGAGGGGTCATATGAGGCGATCTGGTCTGATCATACCGTGC